GGAGCCAGATTCCCTGGCTAGGTAGTGTTTGCTGTTGCTGGTATAAATAAAGCTGGTGATGGTTTTACCTCCTGGGCATTTTAAGTAGGGAAGCCCCATTTGGCTTCTAGTCAGCTGGGCAATTAGCATTTTATAGGCAAGCAATATACTTAAATGGAATTGCTTGGCTTGAGCATTGAATTACAATGGCCGGTAGACTGCTGCACTTCTTACATAATTTATTTAGTACTTGCTGCTTGTTTAGGATTCAGGCAGAGGTTAATTTAATTCTGCATGAGAAGCTAGTAGTTATTCCACATTAATGCTGTGCTGTACTGCAGTGCAGGGAAAAGTTTTTGTGTAGATTGTGTATTTGCCTGGTCTCTCAGTCATGGAAAGGACAATTTTACCTAGTCCTTTCTTAGCAGTCTGTTCTTTGCAAGAGCCGTTGGCACACTTACATTGTCACTTTAAAATGCAGCCAACAATAATACCTTAAGACCATTTTATTCCATGCTGTTGCACGTCTATTTTTAAGAAACAAATGTGTATTGATGTGTAGTATGGATCAAGGAGACTTTGTTCCTGCAAAATGACAAGGGGCCCACTTACCCTGTTACAGGTAAATAAAATGTTAATATGTGACTATGGTGACTTGAGCATGAGAGCTGCCACTGCATCTCTTCTGATGTTCTGAGGCAGCGGGCAAACATCCGGTGTGTGTGATCTTGGAAGGATAAAAAGAGTAGGTAAAGCGTGCCGCAGCACTCCAGAAACAAATTAGAAACTTAGATGGAGGGAATGAATATGTTTGTTCATGCTCTTAATAAGCCTAAGCGATTAACTAGGTGCTTAGAATTTTATCCTACATCTTGATGTTTCCTAAAGCCCTTGACTGCTGAAATCAATGTGGGGGAATTTAGGCTTCCGTTATTTTATTTCTTTTAAAGCTGCTTTCTTAGCAAAGTGATTGCAAAGAACTTGTAAATGTTAAGAAGTGTGCAGCAAAGACTTAGAGACTAGAAGGCTGCTAATGAGAGCACAACACTTATTTTTTTATATTTACTCTCATGATTTCGAGGTAACTTAATATTTTTGAACCCTTGGGGCACCAATCCTGGAGTGTCTGGCTGCTTTCAGCAAAACTTATTACTGGCTTAGCCAGTTTCCTTCTCGGTGCTCAGATCTGCCGGTTGTCTCAGCGTGCTTTGTGCTCCCCACCTCTGTGGGCAAGCGGAGCAGAGGGAGTGAGCGAGGACTGAACAGCCAGTTTGACCTTTACTTAGAAAGCCCTCCCTGCTGACATGGGGTCATGTAACTCTGCATGCAGAAAACTCTGTGGGCTTTGCTTCTGCTGAGTTTCAGAGTCTGTCTCAAGTCTTGGCTGCTGATCTTTGCTGTAATGGTGTTGACCTACTAAGTAGAAGCATCTGTTCTTGCAGCCATCACGGCTGTCAGAAAAGCTGATATTTTGAATGGGTCTCTTCAAGTTCAGAATATCCTGATCTTTGGCAGAGGAGCAATTCCGACACCTGCAGATGCTGCACTAAGTCCTGACGGAGATTCCTTAAATAATACTTTTGATACCAACGTTATTTTTTCATGAAAAACTCATTAGCAACAATAATAAATGAAACTTTAAAAGAGCGAACAGTAGACTGAGGGAGGTGATTCCTGACTTATGGTAGCTGGCCTCCAAGTTGATTAATGGTCTAGTTGTAAAACTGGCAGCTCAGACCCTAATTGTTCTAATAATCAAGGAAATTGTTACCATATGTTGTCACTGTAACTTTTACTGGTTTAACCAAGCTTTAGTTGTGCTGTAAAAATGATTAGAAAGTTTCTCGCAGGAGGAATTGGATTTTTTTGGGTTTTTTGAGGGTTTTTTTGCTTGTACAGTTCCTCTCTGGAGGACCGTGGGGTTTTGCGGACTCTTTAAAGCATTTGAAAACCCTGCTTTGCTCTCCAGCAGCTCCTGCCTAGGCATGCTGCCCCCAGCCGTGCTGGCCACCTGAGGCAGGAGGACACATCCACCTCATCTCCGCCTCTGCTGCGATGTCTTGAAGCTATGTTTGATTTCAAGCATAACAGCATCTTTTTACATAATACAGTAACTTCATGGTTTTGTGGGGAAACGTTGCTTTTTATCTGCTGTTTCTTTTGCTGCCTTGCTTCAGCAGTGTGTCTGCATTAACCCAGCATCCAGTGTAGCTGCACCCTGGGAGACAGTCAGATCTGTGGAGCCCTTTGGTGTCCTTGGTACTGGTTTACAGGCTGTACCAGCATAGTTCCCTGCCTGAAGCCCAAATTTGACTTTGCAGGGTCTTTGGAGAGGGTTGGTGAGATGTGAGGGGAGCAGAGAGGCCAGACTGAGTCACAGCATTTTACTTGTCCTGTTTTTTACTTGTACTGTTATTGCTGCTTCAGAGAAGAAAAGCAAGAAAATATTGGTAAGTGGATGGAAGTTGAGGAATTTCTGACAGACTGTTAGTGGAGGGGACTTCCCGTTTTGGATTTTAAGCAGTTGACCTGAGACACAGTCACATTATTCCAGCTACTGAGACAGTCGCTGGGTGCCAACTGAGCCATACTAAGTTTGTGTGGTTTTATTTTAGCCTCGACAAAATCTGAGCTAAATTCGTGAGCGTAGTTGTAAGATCTTTCAGTTAACACATTTGATATCACACTTAGAGCTGTGTGAGTGGATGGTTCATTGGTACATCTGTGTTAGCAAAGGATGGTTTATTAAACTGAAGTAACTTTGTTTCTTTGACTGGCTTTCCTTGTTTTGAAACAGGAGGGCAGTGACATTGACCTTCCTTTATAAAGTGGTGTGTTCCAATGATGAGCTGTACCACAAAACAGCTAGGTATTATCATCACAAGCACTAATCTGAAGGTGAAGATGTTTAGAATGATAGTTATATGTTTAAATGATTTATTTTAAAACCAAACCCATCAGAGTATTATCTCTTGCAACAATTTGAATCTTCCAGTCTGAATAAGAAATCATCTTTTGCAGACTCGAGGCCATTTCTGCTTGTATTCAGGAACTGCTGGATCCTTGCCAGAACATACTAAGTTCAAATGGCTACGGGGGTGTTCAGTCATGGTTATGTTGGATGAGTATACTCAAATAATTTTGCAGAAGGAGCTTATGGGAATGTTAACAGCATAGAGGTTATGTCTTCTGTGTCTGCCAGTTAAATGGCTAGTGATCTGACGATTACACAAAGACAACGCAATCTTCCCTGCCTCTGTGCCACTCCACATACTGAGAGACTGGAAGCACGGTTCTTTCTCTTTTTTGCCATGGAAATTGCTGGTTAAAGCTCAACACTTCTGTATATGCAAATTCTGATTTTTTGTTTAAAGCTATGGTGCCACACTGCATTGTCATAGCAGATACTGCAGTCCAGCCATGTGCTATTAAATCCAGTAGGTTTTGCACCTGTTTTGCTAACAGATGCAAACAAACAAACTTTAACATGTCTCATTTGACCAGTGACTTGGTGGATGGTTGGTCTGCATGAGCCAAACTTCACGTTTCGTGAAGGTCTATAGAGCCTTCTTAAAAGTACCAAAACCCCATCAGCTGTGACACTGAGATATTTCTTCTTTATTCAGAAGAGAAACTGCTGAGGGTATGGACCAAAGGAAAAAAAAAAAGTATATTATGTCCAAACTTTTTTTTTTTTTTTTAAGAATATCCACTCTGATTACTTGTCAAAAGCTGCAGACCTACTGAAATATTTCCTCTTTCAATCAGGGTTAATTTTCCTCCCGTGGTAACTTTGAAAGCAGAGAAATAACAATGGGGTAACTTGGAGGGGAAGTGCTTGGGTGAATGGGTGATTGTTTCAGGAAACATGTGTCCGTGCTCAGCCGCAGTGCTTTTTCCGCTTTTTCCCCTGGCTCGGAATGCTCTGCAAGTATCAATGCATGTGCCCTCCCGGTGGCTGGGAAATGGAGACAAGCAGAGAAAAGGCACCTGCCAAACATTTGGTAGAGTTGTGTGTGTGAACCTTTGTTTCTTGAACCTCAGCACAGTATTTTAATCACACCACCATTTTTTCTTCCATTTTCTTTTAATGTGAAATGCATACTTGCCTGAAAAATGTTTTATTCATATCATCACAAATGAGCGCTGATAACTGCAGGTTGAAACTAACAACTGTACTCCCGAGTCCTGTATGTTACTGGGGTGCACAGCTGACCCTATTACCCTGTAAAGTCCCCTTTACAAAGTATTTATTTGTCCACCTTTAAGTACTTTGCCTGCCCCAGAGCTTGTACTCTTTCCTCTCCTTTAAGCCTATTCTGTCATTTCAGAGTAGCTTCAGGCAGCTGAAATTTAGCTGTTAAGCCTAACCAAACTGTGCACCTCTCTTCCCTTGTCTCCCCCAAAATAAAATGACCTTTAAACAAGGTTCATGACATACTTAAATCTGTTTTACTCTCCGTTAAAAACAATGCAAACAAATCTTACACTTCAAATCCAGTTTCTCTGGGTAATGCCAGATGCCTGTTCAGTAGCTTTCCTCCACGCCTATTTCCCCAGCCCATCATTAAAATCTCAGACCCCTGAAATAATTTGACCAATTATTTGAATTACTCAAACTTCACAGAATGGCTTAGGTACCTTTGAGCCAGCTGCATTTATACACCCTGAAACATGACAGCAGTTGTGTGCTGAACATTAAATGAGATACAGGTCATGCCTGGGGTAAAGGCATGACTGATTGGTGTGCCTGGCATGGTTGTGCATTTATCCTTATTAGTGCCATGGGACCCTTTAAGTTCTATATTAGCCATAGTTAAAAGAGGTGATTAGTGTATGTTAACTGTGCAACCTGATGCTATCTTCACATAGTGATTTCTCTCTCAACAGGGGCTTCCTCATGTGACATCTGACCTGCCCGTACATTAAGCTTTGTAGTCAATGGAGCTCTGTACTCTTTGTGCTGTGATTGATTGAGATTCCTTCATACTGAGCTTTGCCTGTTGTTCTCTTTTGTTTAGGAGGTCCTCCGGCAGCTGATTGTAATGAATTTACCAAATGTTTTAATGATTGGCAAGGATCCTCTTTCTGGTAAGTAGTTCATTGAGTTCTTCACTCTCCTCCTCTGAAATGCTAAATAAAATTTGTTTATTTTCTTAAATTAGAATAGAATCAGAATTGTTTAGGTTGGAAGAGACCTTCAAGACCCTCAGGTCCAACCATTAACCTAGCACTGCCAAGTCCACCACTAGACCATGTCTCTGAGTGCCACATCAACAGGTTTTTTAAATAGTTCCGGGGATGGTGACTCAACCACTTCCCTGGGCAGCCTGTTCCTGTGTTTGACAGCCCTTTCAGTGAAGAAGTTTTTCCCTATATCCACTCTAAACCTCCTCTGGCGCAACTTTGAGGCTGTTTCTTCTTGTCCTGTCACTTGTTACTTGGGGAGACCAACCCCCACCTTGCTACAACCTCCTTTCAGGTATTTGTAGAGGATGATAAGGTTTCCCCTCAGTCGCCTTTTCTCCAGGCTAAACAACCCCAGTTTCCTCAGCTGCTCTTCATGAAACCTGTTCTTGAGACCCTTCACCAGCTTCATTGCCCTTCTTTGGACATGCTCCCGCACCTCAGTTTCTACCTTGTAGAGTGGCCCAAAACTGAACACAGGATTTGAGGTGCAGCCTCACCCGGGCTGAATACAGGGGGACAATCGTTTCCTTTTTTTTTATTTCTGATACAGGCCAGGACGCTGCTGGCCTGCTTGGCCACCTGGGCACCCTGCTGGCTCATGTTCAGCCGTCTGTCTACCAGTATCCTCAGGTCGTTTTCTGCCGGGCCGTTTTCCAGCGACTCTTCCCAAAGCCTGTAGTGTTTCCTGGCGTTGTTGTGACCAAAGTGCAGGACCCGGCACGTGACTTCATTGAACCTCATACTGTTGGCCTAGGCCTATTGATCCAACCTGTCCTCATCCTTCTGCAGAACCTTTCTACTCTCCAGCACATCAACACTCCCACCCAGCTTGGTGTCGTCTGCAAACTTACTGAGGGTGCCATCCAGCCAGTTTTTTTACCCAGCCAAGAATGCAGCAGTTCAAGCCATGAGCAGCCAGTTGCTCCAGGACAGTGCTGTGGGATGGATCCCATCTGGCCTCATAGACTTGTGTTTAAGTGGTGTAGCAGGTCACTAACCATTTCTCCTTGGATTTTGGGGACTTCATTCTGCTCTCTGTCTTCCAGCTCAGAGGGCTGGGTACCCTGAGAACAACCAGTCTTACTATTAGAGACTGAGATAAAGAAGGCAGTAAGTACCTCAGCCTTTTCCTAGTCCTTTGTCACGATGTTTACCCCTGCATCCAATAAAGGATGGAGATTCTCCTTAGGCCACCTTCTGTTGCTAATGTATTTATAGAAATTTTTTTTTTATCTTTTACAGCAGTAGCCAGGTTAAGATCTTGTTGGGCTTCCAACCTTCTAAACTTCTCCCTGCGTAATCTCACAATGTCCTTTTTGGTCCTCCCGAGTTGCCTGCCCATTCTTCCAAAGGTCTTTTTTTCCTGAGCTCCAGCCAAAGCTCTCCATTCAGCCAGGCCAGTTGTCTTCCCTGATGGCTTGTCTTTCAGCACATGGAGATGCTCTGCTCTTGCGCGTTCAAGAGATTCCAGCCTTCCTGGAATACTTTGCCCTTCAGGACTGCCTCCCAAGGGACTTTGTGAACCAGTCTCCTAAACAGACCAAACTGCAAACATGCTTTTAAACAAGTATGTGTTTGTAGCCAAACTATGAATATTTGAGTATCTCTGTGAATCTCACAGTTTAATATATCTAATATGTAATACTTATATTTACATACCTGTACATACAAATGTACCATCTGATATATATGTTTTTGCACATCATACACATACACGTGTGATAGTTTATGTCTCTTCACTCCATGCTGCAAATAACCTAGCATACAGTCTGCCGTACTGGGATCATTTATCCTCCAGATATTCTGTCCTGTGTGCCTCTATAATCAGTTCAGTTTTGGCCATATTTGCACACTGGAAGAGTCTTGCAGAATTGCCCTGAAGTGTGAAGGAACTGTTGCAAAGGAAGTGTAGGAAGAAAAATATGTGGAGATGGAGAGAAAAGTACATATGTGACAAATGAGAAAAAGTGAAGAAGAGAATGGGCAAGGAAGAAAATGTCTACCTGGCCATGTTGTCTAAGCAAGGACATCTGTCATGAGCTATCACATCAAAAGTTACCTGGAAGCTAGTGAGCTCTCCTGTCTAGAGTCCAGCCTCTGTGCTGAAACGCAATGAAAGCCGTTTAGCCTGACATGGTTTGTGGGTGGATCTGGCATTGCTACATGAACATCTTGGCTCAATGATCTTAAAGGCGTTTTCCAACCTAAATGATTCTATGAAAACAAAGTTGACTTCTCCTTATTACATTTCTGAAATAAAAGGTTTTGTTGCTGTGGTTGTTTGGTGGATTTTTTGTTTTGTTTTTTTTTTTTGCATACCCACTCTGTCTCAGCCTTAGCCTGGTGCTAGTGCCAAGGGCAGTATATTTGTTTTTACCAAAGAAGGAAAACTAGAGGAACCCTGTTAGCAGTGTTGGGAAATGACATGGTAATCACAACCTCCAGAACAAACAAATGGCAGAAATCTTGGCAGAAGATTATATTTTGTTTCTGTTAGCATCAGTAGTGCATGTATGTACAAAAAAGAGTTTATATCAGAAAATATTATTAACTTACAGATGTTAGATCACTGAAACTCGTAGTTCTGGCACTTCTGCAATAAAATCAAGCTGAGAGTAAGGCATCCACTTCTTCGGCAAGCAGATTGAAGTCTGCAATGCTCGTCTCAATTCTCCTGTACTGGCTGCTCTTGTGGCTAATTAAGAAAATAGAAATAGAAAAGCTGTTGCCTTTCTCGGTCATATGGGCAATGGGCCGAGCATGGGCTGCTGGCGTCAAGACTACTGGTGAATAGAGATGTCTGGGCCAACACGGCTGTATCTGCTGGCGAGGTGTCAGCAGAAAAGGCTGGTTGGTTTTTGTCCTGGCCAGTTCTGAGCGACAGCTGGCGGCAGCCTTATAATGCAGTAACCACAGGGCTGGTTCCTGGGGAAGCTGCGCACTTGAAAGCTGTCCTGTATTTAGCTATAATTTCCCGTTACTGACCTGCTGCTTTTTGTCAGCACCTTAGATTGTTCTTTTTTTGAAGAAAGTACCTGATGTGTCTCTTGTAGGAAAGGTGTTGGTCATCCATGTGTCCCTGTCTTACAGCTCCTTTTATTACAACCAGAAATTCTTCACTTCCTGACGCCTTTAAAATATGGTAGTTTGCTGTTGTTTTATCTTAATGTGATCTTATTTTAAAATCTATTTTATCCACTGTTGACCTGTCATTGGCATTATTCAGAGCATGGGAAGAGAAGATAAAGATGCAAACAAGTAAATTCTGGATGTCTAAAATTGATGGAGTATGTGTATTAAAAATATGAATTTCTTGTTCAGCCGTGTTGTACAATGATTTTTGAGAACCAGTCTCAGGGGAAGGTGGTGAACAAAGAAAGATTTGATGTGTACCTTTTCCAGAGAATGTATTCATTGAGGAGAGTGCCTGAGGGATAGAATTTCAAGAGAAGCTGATCTTAACCTTACTCTGGGGTAGATGATCTCTGGAAGGATGTGCTGAAGAAATGGTTAGAGAATTGGAGAACTAGAACTTTCTCCAGGAAGAGGAACCTGGCTGGGGGTTAATGGGAAGCTTGGGAAGAGGGAACAGGTAGAAGGCTGAAAAGTTAGTAAAACCCATACAAAAAGCTGAATGAAGGAATAGGCTATGGTGAGCAATGTGGGTGAGGGACCGGGTGACTGCCAGGTTTATGTCTTGCTGAGAGTCTTGTAGAGAGGAGAAAGAGGGAGGCAGGGGCACTTGGGAAGGGGGAAAAACAAGTGAAATGAGAGATTCTGTCTGTGTGAGAGAGCTGAAGGAGGGCTGCAGATTGACTAGAGATGTGAGGACAAAGCAGTCACCAGCATGGGAAGCGGTGCTTCTGGCACGAATACAGAGAAGCCCTAGGGAAAGCTGTCAGAGAAGCAAGGAGGCTGGAGCTGACAGCAGTATGGGGAGAAGAAATGATGGAGATGGTTATCTGAGGGAAATGTTTAAAAGTGGCAGGAAAGGTAGAGGAGAGACCTCTTTCTCTATGTTCAAGACAGAGACTGAGAGGGACAGAGGACAGTCCTGAAAGGGACATCTGCAGAGACTGTGCTGGGCAATGCGGGGAGCACTAGAAGCTGGAGACCGAGATGCGGGTGGACCGCAGGGCTGGGGTGTATCTGAGAGGCAGTGATGAAACAATCCGAGGTTTGCCCTTCCTGTCCTGTAGGTGAGTTATCTGAATGAAAGTCCTTCTTGACCAGAGGAAGAAAAATTGATCCTATGATCACATTCCTGAAACAAATAGAGTGTTGCTTTGTTTTTAGCTAAACCCGGGACAACTGTTTGAGGTGGTAAGGTTCCAATTGACTGTACTGACTCCACAGGTCTAAGACCAGAGAGCTGTTAGATCATTCAGTATGATTCACTGTGTAACAATTTCAGTGATTTATTCCTTGTCACAAATCCACGTGATGTTTTGCTGTGCATGTTTTTCAGAGCTGTCTGTTCAACAGTGCTATCTGCAAATTTTACTTTATCCTTCTAAAACACAGCCAAAAAACCGATGTTACATATATTAAATTATAAACTGAACAGCTAAAGCCAACAATGCTGTTCTTGCTATTTAGCTTCCATTTGGTTCTCAGCAGTTGGGAGTAGTGAGGGCTTCGGCAGCTCTTCTGTTGGAAAAACAGAGCTGCCACCACTAAAAATGCAATAGCAGTTGGCCTTTTGCATAGGAGAAAGCATATGTTTGCTGGACTTAGGAGCTTTACTTGCTTGCATGTCCTCTAGATCGTTTTGTTCCAGGCCATGGCAATGTTGCCTGCTTCAGTTTGTTTGGCCACAGACATAAAAGTTGCAAAAATATTTTAAGAAGGTGAAGACTTTGACAGTTTTCTAGAATATGGGCAGCTGGAAAGAAATTTGG